ATATGAAAAAAAAATTCAAGCTTTTCTTTTTTTTACATTTAGAATTGGTCATACTTTGAGTCATTCCTATCGCCCCATAAACAAACAAAGCTCTGCAAAATAGAGGTGTTTGCGTACCACTGTAAAAGGCAGTTCATTTACTTAAATCTTATTCAATATTTCATCAGCGTTTTCACCAAAATTGTTCAGATCATGTACTTAGAGAACCGCATGGGATATCCAAAACGAATCATGTATTAATGGGAACTGCGATAACATCTTAACATTGACATGAATATAGAAGACTAACCTAAGGCAGAAAGGCTAGCAAATGAAAGCAGACTATGTATTTATGCCTCTGATCATCCCTTGTACAATTACAATTTCTCAGTTCAGAGCAAGTTCCACCTATATATCGTTCTTTTTGCTCTTCATTGTTCTCTTGGATTGTTAGAGTCTTAGTCTTCTTAGCTCTCAGATATTTGATAGAAAGAGTGAGTCAACCAAAGAAGGTGTTGTAAAATGTTTGGGTGTAATCGTGAAGTCGATAATTCAAAGACTTCTATGAATGTAATTGTACAGCTGTCTGAAGAAGAGGAAAATAGCACGTCGAATTAGTTTTAGCCTCGGAACCTCCATGAGTCACTTAATTCCATTATTTTCCTTCATGCGCGTTTTGTACAATGGACATGCCGCAACCTCGATGGGTTCACCTTTAATCATCCTCTTTTGCGAAACTCGCCGCCCAACGAGAACAACGACATGTAATGCACAGATTTATTGATAATTCTAACTTGTTAACTGAACTGATAATATTGACCGGGGCAGTCGGACTAATGGAAATGGGCGAAAGTGGACGCGGAACTGTAATACGAAACGCTAGATGCGCAGTTGAAACTAGCGTAACGAGTCCGACTCCTCATACGTGAGAGGATTGCCAGGGCACATAGATATCCGCGTACAAGGAGGGCGACAAAAATGCCGGGCGAATGGAGTTCGAACTATTAACACATATGGTAAATACACTAATGGGACGCATTACTGTGCTTGCTGGCAGTCACAGGAGGCGTTGTTCGTTAATAGTTTATACATACGATGAAAAAAATAATAAAACTACACCGAAAGAAGCATAGAGTAATTCGCAGTGTTGGTTTTGACACATATATGGTATTGAAAATAACTACGAAGCATTGGCGTTGAGCAGAACAGGCATTTATGGCAGGGAGGCACTGGATGAGCTAGTTCAGAACTGCGAGGAGCGATGGAAAACAGTGGCTCGTTCCTGAAAACACGAAGATTCTTGACACCTTGTCACCACCATTTTGAACAAGATCATTGCCCAGTGGACGAAAACTCGGAAGAGATTTCATACTAACTTGATTTTCATCGTTATAGTGGTAGGTACGGACGTCGCCTCCGGTCGCAAACGAATCCTCTGCCTCAAAAACTAACGAGCGTGGTGGAGCGTGGACACCCTTACCTCGGGCGTAAACCTAAATGTCCAGGTCGATCCCTTTGTGATAAACAAAGCATCTCTTCCAGAGTACTTACCGTAACCTTCGAATTTGGTGTCAGCACAAATCCACGTGGGAAGGTGAAGTTTACATCACGGCCTGCACCACAACTACGTAATCTCCACTCGCCGATCATTTCATCATGTGAAACAGATGTGTTTTCTATGGTAATGGATGAGCCATCAGGTGCAACCTCCTGCAATTTTTATTTAGCAGTGCATTGAGAATAGGCTTACTATATGCTTACAAAAATGGACACATTTCCTTGGCCTCTTACTTCCTTTTCTGTATTTCCATAGTCTCTTTTAGCATCGGCGATGATGGATTGCGACTGCTACAAAAAGAGAGAGGAGTCAAGGGAAAACTGTTTAGCCTGTCGCAAGTATACTCCATTTTGAAAGCATATTTACCGATATTTCTTTTTCGTACATCATGCGGATTCCGGGTGCGTGTTTACCCTTCGTCAATCTTTCCAGGTCATGATTGA